CAACCCCTGACATTCTGTGATTCTGTGTTTCAGTGATGCACCTCTTCAAATTAAACAAAAGTTTCATGAAACTGAAGCAAAGCCCTGTGAATATTTTTAATTCAATTTAAGAGTTGTTAACAGCAGGCATTACATCTAATGCAGATGTTTCCAGAGCGGTATGCAACAGCTTAATTACTGTAGGGGTTTTCTTGGTTGTTAAATCACAATTAAACTCTGAACAGGGATTCACACTGCAAACATGCCTACCATCCCCTAAGTCCCCAACACAAATGATCACACAAGCAGTGCCAGCTCCCATGACAAATACTTTCACAAGGGTGATGTCAGTGAGAGACGAAGTTCATCCTGAAAGGCTCGATATGCACGTCCTCAGTATTTTTATTCCAAGGGAATTTGATTCTTACTCAGTTTTGCTCCCCACCTCTTGCAGTTTCATACAGCAATAGAAGGAGCAGCAAGAAGGTGACGGAGTGGTTCCCAAAGCTCAGAGCTCACCAGCTTAAAACAGAGATGTGAACAGATACTACTGTCCTCAAGTTGCCAGGGGATTTCCTACAGCTCTGTGAGAAATCTCCTGTAAAGGTCATCAACCAGCATCCTCAAAAGCAAGCAATTTAGGGGAACCGAAATGTTGATAGCACCAGGGATGAGAAATGCCAGTCACCCACGTGGTGAAGGTAGAACAACAGGTGTAAGCAGAGGAGGAGCTGAGCACCCAGATGCTGTAGGTGCTCAGCACTTCCCAAGAGCAGATCCATAAGGTCTCACAGAGGATGCTTCAGAACATGCAAGCGAATCCCAAATTACTTGGTGGTTCTCCTGTCATTAGAAACCTCTCCAGCTGTAGGCATTGTCACAAGCCATAGAGACCCCGGACCAAGCACCACCCTCCTCGACCCTTCATCAGTTTCTTACCGTCACTGTAGTCCTTGCGACTTTGGGAGAGGTGGTACTGCCTCGGGAAGGTGCCACCTTTCCCAAACCTCTCGCAGAACGGGATGTCGAAATCTGATAGGAGGGAAGAAGAAATGTGTTTCTCAGATCAGCTCAATATCAAATTGCCCAGAGTGTTTCTTCTGGTCTTCACATTGAATTACAAGCAAGAATGGGGTGACAAGCTGTTGTTTTACACAGCCATACATTCCACTTTGAAATCTGTCCATGGTGAGATATTCCTTGATGGAAAACAAAGGTTGGACACACTGGTCTTGGTTCCCCTAAAGCAAAAGGGTTTCACTGCTGACTTTAGGGACCCTGGCCCACAGTGCTCAAACACAAGGCAGGGGATTAACACAGACCACAACTGCTTTCCGAGACAGAGCACTAAACATCTTATCTGCACATGGAAAATACCAAAATTAGCAAGGAAACAACTGCCTGGCAGGGTCAAGTCCAGATCCATCTACTCCAAAATCTCTGCTCTGAACGCAGAGATCCAGCTCTTCGCTAACACCGGGCAATCTCTTTCCTCTCAGATGTGACTCCTGAACTCTGAAAACCAGAGACCAAGTTATATGCCTAGAGCTCCAAACTTTTATATTTATTTTGATTAAATGTTAGATAGTCTTAGAATCTACAGAAGGCATTAAAGACCACCAGAGTTTAGGTTAGATACGAGATTACAAGAGAGATGGATGGACAGGTGATATAAGGATGTATTTTTTTAATATAAAAAAATGCAGCACAGGAAGCCATTGCTGGTAGCAACGAATTATTTGAGATTAAAATATCTGTCATTTCCACCCCCTCCCCATCTTTCACCTCCTGTTTTTCCTCCATCTAACTCTAATGACACAGCCCATTCTGCTTGTTTGTTTGTCTTAGCCTGGGGCCAGCAGCTGCTCCTTGGAGACCGTTCCTGGCCTCTCCTGCACTTCAGCATGATTTCCCCATTACGGCAGCGTGCAAGAGGAGCGCATAACGGCTGAAATATGGTCAGCGAGAAAAGCAACAAGGACAGGTCAAGAGGTTCTCGGCGAGCCACACGGGCGCGACGATGCCGAGTGGTGTCTCAAAGCAAAACGCCTCCCCTGGCCCCAGGGATGGATTAAAACCTTCGGCTACATGGACTGGCTGCGGCTTTATCTCTACGGTTCAATCTAGAAATCCTGCCTGGGGCCAGAAATGAGTTATCATGCCACAGGCTGACTGCCATTTGCTCATTTTTAATAGTGAAAGTCATTCCAATATTACAGAGTTTCCATGATTTAACCAGCTGGATGGTTTTAAGTGATTAAGCAGTAACCGCCGATCCTTGCGAGCTACCAATACACTTTCTCTAACAGCATTTGCAGTATTACAGATTATTATTAATGGAAGTGGAAGAGGTATAAACTCTCTAGAGAGTTCAGGACTCGGGTTTTACTATGTAGGAAGTGAGGATCCTGAAAGTGCCACTCACAGGTGCTAACAGGGACAAAAAGTGATGTCCCAAGGCTGTTTCCAGCTTGTCAGCACCTTGCAGTTGCCTCCAAATACAAGAGGCAAGACCCCTCAGCAATTTCTTCCAACACAGAACTCATCTTTGGTCTTTCAACAGTTTTATTTGCTTGCATCCATTCACTTCAAGACCCTCGTCACTCGGTTTGGACTGCTGTTGCTGTAAAATTGATTCCTGAATCAGCCCAAAAGGTTCTTTGGTGCTACCACTAGTGCTGCAGAGCAGAAAGGGGTTAATTAAAGACGGCAAAGGCAGCCCTGCCCGTATTTGATACTCTGGGTCTTTTGATTTTAGGGAACATTCATGTTTGATCATTGCAGGGTCAGTTTTGAAGTGTAACCTCAGCAATGGAGCTGGTTTGCTTGACTGTTTTTAATTACTCTTCATGCAGTGCCATCTCTCTAATAGCCTTTATGCAGCCTCTTTACTATATGTTTTTTATACTTTTAAGCTAACATAAACCTCCAAGAGTGCTTACCCATGCAATCGAGACTGTCTTTGGGATGGCTCTTCCTTCCAGGAATGGGGGTTTGGGTAAAGGGAGGGCTGCAAAGGGATGGAAAAAAAAATTTAAAAAAATACATACTTTATTATACTAGAAAGGCTATAGAATGAATTCTGACCATGGATAAGCCCAGTCTGCACAACTGAGGTCTCATCGCCAACCTGCACAAGAATTAAGATTTATTTTTTTTTTTGCTGGACCAGAGCTTGTTCCTGTGGCAAAAAAAAAAGAGATGCCGCAAAAACCAGAGTCCCCAAGATGAACTGAAGCAGCCAAAGTCCTTCAGTCACACATAATTCATGTGGGTCTCCCCTTCTCTGCAACATCATCCCCCACCTTCCTGACACGGGAGGGTCCGTACCACCATCGGGCACACGCAGGCTCCCAGGAGAGCAGGAGGGAGTATGCAGGAGTGGTGCTTCAAGGCTCAAGGTCTTTACACCACCCTGAGAGGATGACAGCCCTGTAAGGGGATCTCAGCAGCCCCAATTTCAGCCCAGCCTCTGTGAGGGTGATCCGGACAGGTTGCTTTTCTGCTCTTCTTTTCAACAAAACAGAAATCTGCTTTGTACAGTGCTCTGAAATCTCACGTCAAAGCTGATCACAGCAGGTTTGCGCTGGCGAAGAAGAATTTGTGGAGTTATTTCTCAGCATCAGACTGGTCACCCACGGCTGGTGACGAGCTCTGCCCTCTTGAGGCTAACGGCATCTCAAGCAACTGGTTACAAGGGCTCAGCTATGACTTTGCAGGAATAGGCATGCTTACTCCTCTTCCTGGATTTGAAGAATACAGCCTTCCTTGTGTCTTTTCCAGCTCCTAAACCCCATGACTGAACGCAGCTGCCTGCTTCTTTGTATGTGAAATCAAACCTCTTGCAAACACGTCTAACACTCCTCTCTCAGTTCACAATAAAGCGTTAGAACCAGGCTGTGCTCCTTCGGTTTTCTTCCCAGCAAAGTCTATGCAAAAGCAAAGCTGGGGCACGGAGGCTGGGAGCACAAGGAAACCGGCTTCGATAGGGCCGTAACAATGTGCAAATACATCGCAGGAAATTATTAAAAGCCACTAAAAGGAAACGGAGCTCGAGGCTGAGATAGATCCAAAGCACACAGAGCTGCGAACCTGAAGCACGCTACACAATCAAATCAACACGACGCAGACCTGCTGGAACACAGCCTTGATGCTGTACGGCAAAAGCAACGGCGGAAAAAAAAAAAAAGAAAAAAAAAAGAATGAAAATCTTTGATGCAGATGGAAAAAAAAATATATATACTGCTTCCCAAAAGGACACCATGTCTTATACACATCCTACCGTGCACAGCAGCAAACATACAGTTGCTGTACACGTGTGAGCTTGGACCAACCAGTCGCACCAACTATTGAACCGCAGCCTGTGTTAGTACAACGTGTCCTAGTTGCTTCCTGCTGAGAAGCTAAACTTAGTCCCTGCTTGTCTGGTGTCCTCAGCACCTTGACTGACACATCTGTGCCTTGCTGGCAGGGCACAGGAGCTGCTGAATTTACAAGTGGCCAGTGGAGAGCAGACAGCATGCTCAGGGAGGAGGATGTATAACAGAGTATTGACCTGGTGACAGCAGAAAGCCAGAGGGGTAGGAGAGGGACCTGACCGAAGCAGAAATCCTGCGCACACAAACCCAGGCTGTCTGCAGATCCCCAGCTACTTTGTCCAGCTCAGATTATGGCATTTCAAATCATACCATTGCACAGATGTGCGTGCTAGGACCTGGTTTTTAGCATTCCAGTTCAATCTGTTTTGCTCAGGTGCACGGGAAGCTCAGGGGATGCCACTGACCCTGCTCTTCTCCCACTGCGGAGGCTGCAGTTCAACTTGTGAACACCGAGACCCACACGACTCACCTGTCCACAGATCTGTCCAGAGACTGGCAGCTCCCAGACAGCGACTCATCAGGGCTGATGAAAGCTTCAAGCATCTGATAGCAAAAGAAGAGGGAAAACAATAAAACCACATGCCACAGCTCCTGAAGCTCCAGTACTGGCAAGACTTTGCAGGGTCAACAAAGCTCCACCGAGGCCTGCTGACCTACAGCAGCTGATGCCAGCCCTGGTAGAGATGAGAATCAATCTAAGAAAAGCTTTTCTCCCAGTGGAAATCCATTTATGACGCCCTCTCTGAATCACTGTTCTTTCCAACTGCTGTTTTCTAGTAGGAAAACCAAGGCAAAGATAATTAGCACCCTGATGTTCAAAGCATGGCTGAGAAGTCGATGAGATTCAGAAGCAGTTTTTATCACAAATACTTTAAGCAATAATAAATATATATGTGTCTATATATATATGTGTCTCTCTCTATATATACGTGTCTATGTGTATATATATCAGGACACAAACGACGTGCCCAAGGCCAAGTGGATATTGTGTGCCACAGCCAGGACCACAGAGCTGGACTCCTGACTTCCCTGGCACATGAGAGCAGCCTTCCTCTCCCGTGATAAGTGAAACATCATCAGGGCTTTTGGCTGGAGGAACCAGCTTGGCTCTCACTAGCTCAGTGAGTCAAAAGCTGCATTTGTGTTGCTTCCTGGATGAGACATTGTACTGGAGGGGTTTATTTATAGCTGGTTAATAACAATAGAGGTTTTGTATCGAGCAGCAAACCGAGGGGCTATGTGCACTTCTACGCAGAGCAGAGCTTGCTCAGGACCACATGGATCAGTGCTTCCTCCTGCCTGCAGCCCTGCTGTGGACACTCGGTAACCCCAACTCCACAGCCAAGCCTCAAGCCCAGCTCGTTCCCAGCAACGCTGAGCAGGGTTAAAAAAACATGTGGAGTCGCCCTTCACTGGCTCCCAGACCCACATCGCTCCTCCTGCCTCCCTTTCCACACGCTGTTCCTGCAACAGACCTCCTCAACCTCACGTTGTTGTGGCAGGACAGTCCCAACTGTAAAGTGTCCTTTTTCTCTGCTTCCCCTTAGGTTTTTTTACCCCAAAGCCTCAACCTTCAAAATGCACCCGCCAAAGAGGAACAAGACTTCTGCTAGATCCCGCTTCCCCTCCTCCTGCCAGACATGCCAGGTCTCTCCCAGCACAGTTAAAATAATGACGAAATAGCCTTGTTTCTCAAAAGCATAAAATTGGGAATCGGAGCAGGCTCCGTACTCAAACTCTCTTCATCTGCCAAGCTGGTCCCAAGGCAAAGACCACAGTTATATCACAGCCTTGTGTTGGGGAATCCCCCAGAAGGCAGCAGCATCAGCTTGTGAGTGGTTTCCCGTGAGGCACATTACAGAAGCTGCAGCACAAGGACATTCTGAGGGCAAAGCTCACATGAAGAAAAGCATGGCTGCTCAATGAGAATAGCAGGAGGGGAAAAAAAAATCCTCGATCCCCCTTTTCCCTGCATTTAATTTGCCAGAGAAGGGCAGCAGGCCACCCACAGCGCGATGCTGGGGAAAAGCGAGGAGAGCATCTGGGAACCTTCAG